GTAGAGTATTTAAAATCAAACAAAAAAATTTTGTTAAATGTGACATAACAGACTGCTATTAACACCCCCCCCCTTAAAAATTTTTATTTTTAATTTCAATTATCAATTATTATTATTATTATTATTATTATTATTTATGGAAAATATTTTTGTTAATTTCAAAATGGTGTAATTAAATTTAGTTGAAATTACAAAATGTTTTCTTAATAATGCCTCACAATTGTTTGTTTACGGTTTAAAAATAGAATAAGAAAATGAAGCGAATAAAATTTTTAAATTTTAATTTTAATTTTGGAAGTAATGGTGAAATGTATTTATATTCGATGAGTTTGATTGTTTGTCTTGTCTTGTTTGTTTGTAGTTTGATTTTGTATGTGGCACTGAATTTGTCGTTCACATTTACCCACTACTATAATACTTTGCAACATAATTTAATGTTTTATGTTTATTCGTTTATATATGTCATGTTTTGATTTTTACCTAATTCAATACGATATACAGGTAATGTGTTGTTTTTGTTTTCAATTAATATTTATCAACATGTGTTGTTATACTTGATTAGTTTTGTTTTTTTGTCTCGTTTGTTGTTTGTACAGTTTTAAAAACATTATTGTTATTATTATTATTATTATTAATATGGTTTTTCGATTAATAACATTTGTTTCTCACACACACACACACTTATTCCTTTTACCTAGCTTGATTTTTTTTTTTTGTTTTTGTGGTTTAATTGAATTTTGATTTGAAAAAAAAAAAAAAATAGAAAGTTATTTATTATTAAGAAATGAAGAAAGTAGTAATTCAAGTGACTAAGTTGGGTGTGTGTTTGCTCATGCATTAAGAAGAGAAGAAAACAATTTTTGTTTAGCATTTGACATTATTTTCCTTTGGTTAAACATATTTAGATTTTTAATTATAATATAAATGAATAATAATAATAATAATTAATAATTGAAGCACGTTTTTTGGGTTAAATTTTTAAATATTGTTACGAATTTTTTTTTTTTTTTTATTAAAAAGTTTTGCCATGAATTTAACGCCATCATTACCAAAGGGGGTAGGGGGAGGGGAGGGGAGGGGAATAATAAATAAATTATGAAAGAAGAAGAAAAAAAGTTGGGGAGAGAGAAAGAGAGAGAGAGAGATGTCGGGGTGATTTGAATTTAACGTAAAGAAAAATTATGATGAATTATAAAAAATTTAATAAGGCGGCCATCTTTTCTCTTTTCATCGTTTGTTTCGCATTCCGTGAAATATTCTTAAGAGAATGATATATTTTAATAATTTATATTCCAATCAATAGTAAATTTAGTTTCGATGAAGGGAAGGAGGGGGGAAGGCACGCGAAAAGAAAAAAAACAACGGATGATGATAATAATAACTGGAGAAGAAGAAAAAAGTAAATTCGGTTTAATTTGGATAAAAGGGGGGGGAGGAGGAGCAAAGGCAAACACACGTGAAATCCCTCATCGTTCAAAACTTTCAATAAAAAAAAAAAAAAAAAAATTTAAATTGAAAATATCGAAGATTGCGTTTAGTACAATTAAAATAACGCGATATTATACGTATAAGTTTCTGCTTCCCCCCTTTCCACCCCCTCCCCAACACGCGCACGCACTTACGCACCTTCCGAAAAAAAAATCCTACTTTAATTTTTTTTTTTTTTTTTTTTTTTTTTTCTACGCTTTAAATTTTTAATGGCTAACCAAAAAAAAAAAATTAAACTTTTTCTCACGGAAACTTGATAGTTTTTTTTTTTTTTTTTTTTTTTTTTTTCTCCTATTTTACGTAAACGAATAAAGCGGTAAAGGAAACGAGAGGGGGTGGGGGTGTGTGTGTGCGAACAGGGGGGAAAAATTCGACAGTGTCGAGCGGGGGAGAGAAGGGGAGGGAAAACTGGAAGAAAAAAGAGAGGGAAATAAAACAATCCGAGTATTGATTTTAAAAAATAAAAAAATAAAAAAAAAAAATTTTTTTTTTTTTTTTTTAGACCGCGGCGGGTAATATTTAAATAAAAAAAAATGCAACGTATCGATCGGTAAAATTTCGCAGTAAAAATAGTAATGATGATGATGATGATGATGATGATAATAATAATAATAATAATAATAATAACGGAAACGACGGTATAATAAAAAATTACTTGCAAACGTTAACGTGTATGTATATATGTATTTCGAGTCGGGGGAGGGGAGGGAGGGAGGGGAAGGCGCGAAGAAAATCGTATTTTTATATTGAAGAAGAAAAAGAATGAATATTTTTCCCCGGAAAATATTTTTTTTTTAAATAAATAAAACGTGATAAAATTTTAGGTTAAACAAGGGCACGATATAATCATGAAAATTTCATCCCTTAAAAATTTGTTTTTTTTCCCTTCTCTCTCTCTCTCTCTGTCTCTCTCTCTCTCTGTCTCTCTCGCCCTCTTTCTTTCTCTTTTTTTTTTTCTTTTTTTTGATTTCTCCAACATATTTTTATCGGGCGTTCGGGGTGTAGAGTCATCTCCTT